TCCAGCTGTTCTGTTTTACATTTTGATGATTCTTCATCAAATAGCAGACTTAACTATGGTCAATGTGGTACTGACATCACATGGCACTACTCCCCCTACTATTAACCTTTATTTTATAAATAGGTAGGAAAAGTCTCAGAGTGAGAACTGTCCAACTTAGGCAGATAATGAGGGAAGCATGGGAATGTTTACAGAGAAGTGTTACAGGGAATGTTTACAAGAAGTCCAGAACAAAAAGACAATTTCAGCAAATCAGCAGATTAGCATTGTAAGGTATTTTAGAGAGATTATCTAGCTCAACATCCTCAGTTCTTAGGTGCAGAAACTGAGATTCTGTAAAGGGAATAGGCATTCCTAGAGTTAATGACTCTAGTAGTTGTAAATCTAGAATCCCAGCCCCAAGCCAGTATCTATCTCATCATGATTGATTCTCTTACTTGCTTGTATTTTCAATAACAACCTGCAGAAAAATATCACCTCCAAGGGAAGAACGAGCTGGTTTATATAAGTTCACTATTCAGAATTTGAAATGTGTGTTTTAACAGAAACAAAGGTAGTGGTGCATGATGTTAGTTTTCCAACTGTGTCTCGAAGACTGTTAGTGCCCAGATTCAATAACTCTGGAAGTGATTGGCCACTTTTTAATGATGGTTAATGAGAGTATAATGGAGACAAATGACTGCCATAGCTCATTGGGCTTCCCAACGCTCAGGGCAATGTCCTGTCCTATAGACCCAGTTCCTATTTAGGTAAATATAGTTCAGCCGTGTATATCCAGCTCCACTGGACCAAGCACAGTTCAGATCATGGCCACCTGAATACTGTGAGAACACACTGCTGGATATATTTTTTCTATGTAGAGGAATAGTCACTGCAGAGGTTTGATGAGACCATAATCAGCTGTGGAGACGCCAGTTTATTATTGATAAGCACGCTTTTCAGATAAAAGAAAAACTCCTTTAATCTAATTGCTTCACATAATAAATAAGCCAGCAATTTAAATGAGCAGGCCGGGATAAATATTTTGCTTGGTATAATCGAATCCATTTACAAGAATCAAAGGAAATCTAAGTGATTGTGTTTCTGTGCAACTTTTGTGTCAAGCTAAGGTACTTGTGTATGGATGTTTACATGTTACAGAGCAAGAATATTTGATGTGTAGATGTTTATATGTAGCATTTATTTTGTTCAGACCCATTAGAACTTTTACATCAAAATGACCTTGTGCTGCTACTCTCAATGGTCATCGGGGGCTACCTCTCTTACTAGATGGATTTTGTATACCTCCTAGCTTGAAAATGGCTTCAAAGATAGTTAAACATCTATACATTTCTTTTTTTTTTACTTTATTGCCACCTCTAATTTTGATGCAAAGTGTTTTTGCCCGATGGATTATCTTCTTCACTTATTAATAACACATTGCCATTTTTTTTGGCTATTTCCTCACATCAAATTTAACTCAGGAACCCAATACTTGCCACCATCAATGAATTGATGGAGTAGGCATTAAATTCTGTAGCTAATTTCTCAATAATAGTCCAAAAAAACCTTTTGCAAGACGGCAGTATCACTGGCATTAGGGTATAAATGTCTATGGTTATTTTTAATTTTGTTGGGATCACGGGTCCCTATGAGAATATGATAAAAGCTACCTCCTCCCAGGAACATATTAATAAATATATGCACAAAAATGAACATATTAATAAATATATGCACATATTTTGCATATTGGTTCAAAAGTGTTCATGGACACCTGGAGTATATTCAGAGATCCCTTATGGTTAAGAACTTTCATTGGGACATTTTAAAAAGCAATAGCATTTATTTTGATTTATAGTTTAGATATGTCTATTAAAATTTCAGTGGTTTCATCATTTATCATCAAAGCTGTAATCTATATAAGTACAATTCTGTATAGACATGTATAATTGACTGCATTAAAAATGACCTTTTTGGAATTTCTATTTTATGTTTTTTTTTATTTTAATCTATTTAAAATATATTTTAAACCTTCTCTTCTAAATGATATTTTTTTAACCAACTTTCTAAATGATATTTTTTTAATTTGTAAAAGATTTTTTTAAATTCTTGTTAATCTTAAAAGATAACCTATCTTTAGAACTTTGGCTTTGAATTTAATATTTGCATTTTAAAAAATTCTCTGATAGGACATTGACCTTAAAGATTTTGAAAGTCAGAATCTACATATAAATTTAATTCCAGCTCTGTACTATTAAAATAACATTGACTGAATCTCAGAATTAGGTGATAACTCTTACGTGTTTTTAACATTACCACATGATAATCTTTAGAATTAAATAAAATGTGAATCCAAGGTGCTGCAAGAATTTAGTATATACAACCAAAGTTTTATGATCTTTTACAGAACTGACATAGAAATAAGCTCTTTTAGTGACCATATCTACTGGATATATTTTATCTCTTTGTTATTAAGAATAATAATTTTATATACATATACAGTACAGTTTTCATCACCTCCTAAGCAGAAAAGATTCACTATTATTCCAACCCTGCAACCAAGTGTATTGTAATAGGACCCATGATTTAAAACTTTCAAGATTTAATCCAGTCTAACCAAAGTTCATGAGACTGGAAATTCAAATAGACCTTTTAATAGAAAAACTGCAGTGGTAACAATCTTCCATAGCTACCTAGTTATCTGTGGATGCTGTCATTAGCTCATACTTTCTATCTGGCTTTATTACTGTACATACAATAGGTGTATGAATGTGGAACCATTTCTGGAGAAGAGGCTCACATACAAGACAAAATGAACTTGTGGCTTTGGTGATGGATTATATTGATATGAAATCCTGTCATCACTTAACGATGTATATTTCTGTGTACATAGAATATACTGAAACATCATATTTCTAGAATGCATAGTCTTTCATTATTTTATTTCTAAAATGAGGTCACATTTTTAGAATTGATAGTGTGTTACAGTTTATTTGGTCACTTTTTTTTTCTAATACTGCAAGTAAGAATGGTGTCTTGGATTCAGTGAAACACAGTGTATAGATTAGAGCACATAAAGTCAAAAGGTGCCTTAGGCATGTTACAACAACTCCTCAAGGAAATTGAAGTTAAAGAGTCAATTAATTTGCTAAAGACATGGATTTGATGACAAAACAGGTACAGTCTATTGATCAATTTTTCAAGTACTTGCACCCATCTTATGTGAATCATTAGACCATAAACTTGTAAACTCAATATAAATCACTTTTTAAAAGACATTTCTTCTGCACTATTTGGTGCATAAAACATAATGTTTGTGTAAGTTAGAAAACGTGAATAGAGTATAAATGAATAAATTTTAACTGTGTGCAAAATATACACACGACTACATATTGAATGATACCATTTCTATAAACAAGTAAAGCTAAAACACTTTTAAAATTAAAGTTTAGCCTGATTCATATAGTACCTTTTTCAGTCATCATTCATTTTTAGTGTTAATGTAGAAAAAAAAAAAGTATTCAAAAGATATTTTTTAAACCACATATTATATTCAAAATTAAAAAAGCATATTTTAACGGGAGCTGGTTTAAAACAATTTGACATGAGTGACATAACAGTTTGGAGAAAGTGTCCATGCTTAGTTTTGCTTCCAAATTTGGACTTTGAAACTTATTGTAAGTCTCAGAAATAAATAAGAAGCTGAGCAGATAATTAAACATTTGCCTTGGGGGAATTATTTGCAGTTAATTAAAACCATACACTTTGGGTGTATACTTGCTTCACTGGTTATTAAATTGGAATCATATATTAACTACCCAGGTTCCTCACTTGTCCATCAAATGTTGCTTGTGGCAGGTGAGAGAAACAAACTTTCTCATAATATTCCAAACTATGTTGTTTAAAGCTATCTCTTAGTTTGAGGAGGAAGAGAGAGAAAAGGGAAAGGAAAACAAAGAAAGAATGATTTGTTTTAGATTCCACCTAAGTCAGCTCTTTTAGGGAATTAAAATGCAACTAAGCAAAATAAACTCAGTAGAGAATCCATTTGTAGGTAAAAGAGGTGTCGTTCTACCATCCTCAGCTTTCTTTATGTCCACATACATACAAGATTAGCTCATAGTTTTTAAATATCTTTGGATTATCACCCTTTTAGCTGCATGAAAAATATCCACTAGATTGTAACCTCTATGAAGGCAGAGATTTGTCACTTTGATAACTACTGAATCCCCAAGAACAGTGTCTGGCGTAGAGTTGACCCCTAATAAATATTTTTTTAAAAAAAATGCAAGACCGATTTTTTGTCTTTCTGCTGACCTATTCACATGCTTTTTATGATGGCTTTTTAAGGAGCCTCCAGAAAGTCCTCAAACATCCAACAATGAACCCTTTCTAGCTTTGCAAGAGTCCATACTCATTGGAAACCTTTTAGTCACTGTAAAGTACCTCATGTGACCAAAAAAAGATGAATTTATGCTGATCCCACGTTTAACTGTGCTATACGAGGAAGAAGATGAAATTGCACAGAACGGAAGTTTTACGTTCCCCTTTGCTATTGTTCTATTGGTACAGTTTATGAGGAAGATGAACAAAGTTCTACATCCAGCTTTTTCAAGGACTTAAGGCTCCTACATATGAACAACTACAGTACTGAAAGCATTAGGAACACTAAAATTAGATATTCCTTTAATCTTCCTTATTCTGCCTTCCTTTCATATCTTTTTGCACAATTCTGCTATGACTTCCGTTGATACATAAAGCCTGCTTAAATTTTCTTCTTTGTTGCAAAAAGATGTACCAATGAAATCTCTATCATATTTACCTTGCAAATTTTGTATAGACATCTTGTGCAGTCCTTCAAGAAAAGCCTATTTATTAATGAAATTATTTAAGTATTTTAATGGTATTTAAAAAATGATAAATTCTATCCCCCAAATATAAATCTATCATGTTAGTGGTGGAAGATGCTCTATTTCCTGGTAAAAATGCTTACTAGAGGTTTTGCTTGTCTGTTGTGTCAGATTCTGCAAAAGATGACAATATTACAAAAGACAGTGAGGTAACCGATCATCCTGTATGTGGCCAAGATCATCCCAATGGTAAGTGATAAGATACTTTTCCAGTTTTTTTTTTTTTTCTGCTGAAGAATATTATATTTTTTAAAAACTTGGGCTTTAAGTTTTCTGGGAAAATTGGAATTTGGTAATATTTTATTAATGCTGAATACTAGATGATTGGTAGTTGCCACATTTAGATAGGGCATGGTCCTCATCACTCATTACATTTTTACTAGGCTGGCTTTATTTCTTTTTATTCCTGCCTGAACTCTATGGGCATTGGGTTTACAACTACTGAAATGAAATGAAAACAATGATAAGAAATGTGAGACAGAGAGAGAATAGATCCAGGAGATTAAATCCACACATACTTGGAATACAAAGAAGAGAGACTAGAACAAACAGAAATGAAGCATCTTTAGAAATATAACAGGAAAAAACAAAGTTTTCCTAATGCAAACCAGTTTCTCCATCCAAAACACAAAAGTACACATTATATTTATAGGCAAAGATAATGAAAACTCAAATGAAAACAGGAAACTACAAAGCCTCATGGAATTTCTGAAGACCGATGATAAAGAAAGGCTTTTAAAGCGAACAGGAATGTCAAATTCAGGTTACAAGCAAAATGAGATTACCCTTAGCTTTCTTCTTCCACAACTCTAAATACTAGAAGAAAATGGAGTAACATTTCCAGAACTCTAAAGGACACAGTTTCTATATTTAGTGAAGTTATTCATGCCTGAATTCAAGAGTAATATTTTCTCAGGAATACAAAGATTTAGAAAATATGCCACCAAGTATCCTTTCTGAATAAACTTATAGAAGGCCTGTGCAAAAAACAATAAATATAGAAAGGAAAGAAAAATTCAATATGAGAAAGGCAGAGTTGGATAGGACTATGTAATAAATGTATAAAAATACTGAAATAATTATTTCAAATAGTACTATAATATCTTAAATGTTTGCTTTACCTTTGAAAATTATGGTATATGTCATTTAAAAATGAAAAAGAAAGAGGAGACACTTTTTCCCTCAGTGATGAAAGTTTAAATAAATTAGACCATTACTCTCACTGAAGACTAGATAACTTAGACAAAATATATATATATATATATATATATATAATAGGTATAAATAGGTAGGTAGATGATAGATAGATAAATTAGATAGATAGATAGATAAATAGATAGATAGATAGATAGATAGATAGATAGATAGATAGATAGATAGAGGGATAGAAGGATAGAAAGATAGTCAGTTAGACAGATGATAGATGGAGAGAGAGAAAGAGAAGCAGAGACAGAGACAGACAGAGACAAAGACAGAGACACAGAGAGAAAGAATCTGTTTAAAGGCATCAGAAGCTAACAAGGTAGAGAATTGTCAGTCTATCTTATGGGAGAAAATGGTTATACAGAGATGTGAGTTCAGAGTCTGAAACTGTTTTTACTTTAGGGCATTTGCTGATTCTTCAAAAGGTATCTTGAATCCCATTGCTCAAAAGGGTAAATCTTGGTAAATCCTGTGTGTGGTTTGAAACCTCAAAGACATGTGCTCTAGAAGGAGGAATTAAAGCAGCAGTAGATCAGCCTTCTGAAAGACTGTTGCCCAACTTTGGATCATCTCAATCCCCAATTAAATTATAACCAACCCAGATTCCAGGCACCAAAGAAAAGCAAATGTAAAATATTTATTAGATGAAAAAAGTGTTGTAGGTTTCAAATCATTAAATAAACAATTTGTTAAATATAATTTCCAGCATACATATACACACACACAAAAAAACAAAAAACAAAAAAACAAAAAACAGAATAAATGAGGAAACGAGGTAACCTGAAAAACAAACAAATAGTCAAGAATGGTAAGCCCATATGGGCTGAAAATATTAGAGTTATAAATACGAAGTATAAAACACAAAAAGTACATATAAGGGAATAAACACAAGATTGAAATTTTTAGCTGAGAACTGAAAATTCAGAACAAAAAAGGGGGGTGGGGAAAGTCTAAATGTAAAAGATACCACAATTGAATGAAAAATTCAGTGAATGGATTTATGGTTTAACAGCATATTAGACACAGATGAAAGAGAATTTGTGAATAGATGTTATGTCAGAAGAATATATCCAAAATAAAAACAGTAGAGAAACAAAGGATGGCAAACGCTAAAGAAAGGGAAAAGACATGGATGATAAAATGACAAAGTTTATCACCTATGTAATTTAAATTCCAGACAGAAGAGAAGAAATTGGGCAGAAGCTATATTTGAAGAAAATATGATAAGAAATTTCCTAGAGTAATGAAGGATATCAGATCATGTGTTCCAAAAGTCCTTTGAACTCCAAACAAAATTAATTCACAACTAGGCCCATCATAGTAAAACTGCTGAAAGCCGAACACAAACAGAACATCCAAAGAACAATCTTTAAACAATTACGCTGACAGCTGACTTTTCAATAGATATGATGGAAACAAAAAGACAATACAAGAGAATAGCTGCCAACCTATTTTAATCCCAGGGAAAATGTATATTTCAAGAATAAAGTTTAATTAAGGACATTTCAGACCAAAAAAAAAAAAAAGAGTTCATCACCAAAGAGTTCTGATGTTCTCCTGGTAGGAGGATATTGATCCCAGATAGAATGTCAAAGATGAAAGGAATTAAAAACAAGGTAAATGGTAATTATTGAAAAGTCTAAATGGATATCGATAACAAAAATCAATGATTATTATATTGATAATTATGTACTGTGGGAGTTAAGATATACTTAGACTTAAAATATATTATAATAATGGTATTTACTGGGATGAGGTAAATTAAATTTAAGTGTGCTAATGCTTTTCCATTGTCATGGAGAATAAAAACACCAATTAATATTAAGATTTGGTAGGTCTCAAAAAATGTCAGGAAATGAGATGAGCCCTGTGGTTGTACCAGCTGAATGCTTGGAGAAACTTCTAGGCCAAAGTGCAGAGAGGAGTAACACAGGCAGAGTCCAACAGATTCCCTGATTTGAGGAGACAGAGCTGAGACAATTGGAAGGCCAAAGTATCTAGTTTTTTTCAAGACAGAGTCCTGGAAAGGAGAAAGCTCCACCAAGGGAATGCTCTAGAGATCAATAGAGGGAATCTTACAAGTCTTCAGCTGAGTACTGATTAGTGCATGTGTTAGGGGAAATTACCAGTGCATGCATGAGAGGCTGGGTAAAGAACACTAAAGAATTTGAAGAAATTATACCTGGAGCTTACACAGGGCTGGGAGGAGTGCCTATTTTCATATGCCAGACTGAAAAACCTAAACATTCATAGCAGGCTTAGAAGGATTTTGCCACAGTAGTGGAACAAAACTAGCAATATATTGAATGCTGCTCTTGTCCTCCCCAATTCAGCTTAAAAGCAAGACTTGAAAATATCAAACTCTGAATAATTTAACTGATCCAAGAATGCATCTCAAAAATATTTATAGAAATATAAATATATCTCATACCCATCAGAGTAATTGACAAAATTTTAGGTCATAAAAAGATGTACTTGAAGACAAATTTCCATGCATCTCTTGTGTTTCTGCATATTTTACAATCAGAGGCCCTGACTGCCTTTGTTTTAGCCAATCTTTCCAAGGCTGTTTGCATAGTGAGCAATCTTGCAAGACAGAGAAACTCTCTTCCTCTGGAGAAAAGAACAGGCTGTTTACAGTCTTGGAAGATAAGAATAGTTCCCCTACACATATACACACACAAAATTAAAAAGCAGGCATGCTTATTGTCCATTATAAAAGACTCAAATTCTCTAAGATCAAGGTTCATCCTCTGTAATACAACCCACTGGGCATGCAGGTATCACTTGGCCACCCTATGGAAACTGCAGCTTGGAACAGGCACAAGTACTCTGGCTACTGCTATTGCTCTGATAATAAACTGTTCTTCCTGGCCTGAGAGTCATGTCTTCTGTCAGTATCCACGGAATTTTGGCTAGCTATCTTGCTAATTTGCAAGTTGAGTAAAATTCTAGACTCTTCCCAATTCTTTATAAGAAGCACGAAAGTATGACCAATAGAAGAAAATAATCATTTGATAGAAATCAATCCAGAAATGGCATAAATGGAGTAATAGTATGAAAATCATGTTAAAAATTATTGTAAGTGTATTCCACATCTTCCAGAAGCTAAAAGAAGTATTGTCCATGTTAATTAGAGACATGGAAGATATAAAAAGACCTAAATTGAATTTCTAGAGATGAAAAACAGTCTCTGGGATGATGATAGGAATAATGGCAGATTCAACACTGCAGAAGAAAAGATTAGTGAATTTGAAGATGTAGCAATAAAAACTATCCAAACTGAAACACAGAGAGAATAAATAACTGAAGGAAAGAAAAGAGCATCAGTGAGATGTTGAAAATTTCCAAAGGTAATTCCAATTCCAATATACATGAATTGAAATCTCTGAAAGAAGGTGGATGGAAGGGCAACAGAAAAAAATTGAAGTAATAATGGCTGACTTTTTTCAGAAATTTCATGAAAACTATGAAGCTAAATATCCAAGAAATTCTATGACCCTGAAGCACACAAAAAAAAAGAAAAAGAAAGAAAATTATATCTAAACACATCATAATCAACTTACCAAACACCAGTGATAAAGAGAAAAATTTCACAATGGGAGGAAAAAGACAAATTACATACAGAGGAACAAATATAAGGGCAAAGAAGATGCTTCATCAGAAACTACAAACTATAATTACAGGCAAAACCATAGATGAATCTCACAAACATAATGTTAAACTAAAGAAGGTACAAAAGCATATATTTTATAATTTATTTATGTCAACTTTAAAAAGCAGGAAAAATAGCTATAATATTTAGAAAGATGTGCATAAGTGGCAAAATGATAGAGGAAATCTAAGTAGTTATTACTGTGAAAGCTGGAGTTGATTAAACTTTGGTTTGTTTTGATTGGGCTATAAGCTGGGGCTGGATGGTCATCATAAGGATATATAGATTTTCTATTTGTTTTTGGTTGTTTGATCTCTATTATTTTTGTGTA